GTTAACAGGACTTTGACAAATTTATCCTGCATTACCCAACGGAATTAGTTTATTCGAGATATATATATATATATATATAATCTAGTATGAAGAGGCCACATTCAATAACTCTCAACTATTTAAGCTGAAGCTGAAATAGTATACTACTTAGTAAAATTATTGCTTTGTTTCAATATTCACTTCTGGTTTTATTTTCGAAGATGTATGTCTGAAATAGCTCAATCATATTTGAACCTGAAGAAAAATCTTCCGAAATTAATAAGTACATAACAAGACTCTAAATATAATTTAATGGGATTTTTTTAAGAAAAATAGACTTATATATTATTTGCTTCGAATATGAATTGTTCAGAGAGAAACTCATAACTGACTGCTTAGAGATATTTTAGAATCTAATAAATGTAGAGAACATTTTAAATTATAGATTATGAAGTAAAAACGTTATGCATTCTACGTCTGATGTCCTGGAAATACAAGATATGTAAGATAACGTATTATTTTATTACATGCATTTTTACAAATATTCTTCTTTAAATACACTGGTGTGCAAAACTTAAGCAACAGGTGGGTTTATTGCCATAACTTCACGAAAAATCATCTGAGAGACATGAAATTCTGAAATGAGGGAGAGTATTATGTACGTAAAGGATGACGATACGGTATGGAATCAAACAAAAACAAGCTTTATTGAACGCATAGTATCGTGACTCATGAACAACAGGAAGAACAACAAGCAGATGTTCCTTAATATGGTATATGCCCTCCCCTTACTACAATGGTTGCTTCGCACCGTCTCCGCATACTCAGAACCAGCTTGTTCAACATTTCTTGAGGTAGGAGTGCCCATTCCTCAATCAACATCTGTTTGAGTTGTTGGTTGTTCTCCGAATGATGTAAGCGTGTGACAATACGTCTCCCCAAAGCATCCTTCACATGTTCGATGGGATTTAAATCTGGGGAGCACACTGGCCAATCCATTCGAGTGATATCTTCACTTTCCAGCAGCTCCTCACAGCAAGAGTGCGATGTGGCCGTGCTTTGTCATCCATAAAAATGAAGTCTGGGCCAATGGCACCTCGGAAAGGACGCACATGGGGAAGAAGTACGTCTTCACAATAGCCATCCCCGGTTACAGACCCTCTGTCGAAAATGTGAAGCTCAGTTCGCCCGTTTAGCATAATGCCTCCCTAGACAAGAACTCCAGAACCACCGTAACGGTGTATTTCCTTGATGTTACTGGGAAAAAACCGGGTCCCGATCTCTCTTCAAATCAAAACGCGTTGAGAATCGCTTCTGGTACTGAACCGACTCTCGTCCGTAAACAGGACACGACTCTACTGATCAGTTGTCCAGTTTTTGTGCTCTCTGGCCCACTGTAAACGGGGGCTTCGGTGGCTAACTTTCAACGGGAGGCAGCGTTCAGGACGGCGGCCTTTTCAGGAACAGGCCCCTTTGTGAAGGCGTCTGGCCACAGTAAACCGCGACACTTGTCGACCCGTTGCTGTACAGAGTTTCTGAGCAATGGCGCTTTTCGCCTGCAGGATGATATATCGGTCATCCCCTGCAGTTGTCGTCCTCGGGCGGCCACCACCAAGCTTTCTAACAGCTGTACCTGTGGTTTGGATCGCTTTCCAAGCGCGCGAAACGACACTTTTGTTGATTCCGAACTCTGCAGCTACACTGGTGACAGTACGCCCCTCCTCCAGCTTTCCGATCATTCTTCCACGTGTGAAGTCATCCAGATGATTTCTTCTAGCCATATTTCACGAACTGACTCACTGGCACTTGCAGAGAATATGTTGAATTGCGTCTCCGTCATTCATTTTATTCTACTGTTGAGCAGCGCGCGCCGACATCACGCGTTTTGCGTACGCTCACATCGCTTCTGACGTTTTGTTCCTGATATTTGTATAAGCATGACGTTTCTACTGACTTGCGTGTTCCCTGTACTGATCTCCAGACCTCCTTTTCTGCAATTTCATGGCTATCTGCTAAATTTTTACATTGTTGTTTAAGTTTTGCACACCAGTGTATTTGCACACACACGTGCGCACACACGCACACACACACACACACACACACACACACATATATATATATATATATACAGTAGCGAAAACGAAATGGGTGTCCTAGGGGTCTGGATCCCCCCCAAGCCCTTGATTTTTTTTCCGATTGATTATAATTCTAAGTATATAGTGCGTAAAATTTAATTAAGTAATTGTTATTAATGATTAATTTTATTACTGAATGCTAATTATTTATTCAATAATTAGTTTTTAACTGTTTTTTGTTCCCGAAAATCGACAAAATCAAAAGAAGCAGGATACAAGAATGGTAGACTTTTGATCCTGGACACCCCCCTTGAAATGAAAAATTCCTGTGTACGCTACTGTATATATATGTGTGTGTGTGTTAGTATGTGTGTGTGTGTGTGTGTGAGTTCCTAATGATTAAATTATTTAGGCAATATGCGCTTTTAAAATTATAACTTATTAAAACACTCGCGTTTAGTATGTTTAAGTACGTGAAGTTTGCTCTCATTACGAGAAAAACCAAGAGAACACAATTCTTTTACATAAAAATGTATACAAACAGTTAATACTCTAATATATAATTCTTTTTTTCCATTTATTAACTTTTTGTCTTCCTAAGCACCCGTTATTAATTTTCTACTTTGTAATCTTCTTTCTTCGTGGATGTGATTTAGTATCTCCTTTAAATAGCATTTACTTCTTAAATAAAAAAAAATTATTTTAGTTGATAAACTATATTTATTAAAATCTCAACCATTACAATAACATTCTTTGAAAAAATGTAATCGAAAGAAAGCACTGTTTATATTTAAATTAGTTTTAACTCAACTATGTTTTTTTTTTAAAAAAAGTTTCAAATGCGTGGACTTTATACGTCTGTGTGTAAGTAGAAATTGATGTATATCTACATTTAGTTCCCTGTGTTTGACACAATTCATTGCATTAATTGTGTCAAGTTCTTGGGTTTGTTATAGAACACGTGTTTGACCCTCTGCCCTCTTTTCGAATTAGATAACTTCTATTGTTTATTATTATCTCGTAAATCCTGATAAAAGACAGCACACATATTTATTTTGAAACAAAAATGATATCATTTTATTTGTGTTATAAATTTGACAGTAATTAAAAGAGGGGAGTACAATTGCAATTCTGTCAGGGAAAGTAGTATTAATATAAACTCTTTGTAACAATGTTACATACTAAGAAC